AGGCCGACGGCTGTTCACCAAGTCTAAGCAACCGTAGCTGCCAATCCACAGGTTGGACATTTTTTGCTGCATGTCCACCAAACGGAGGTGGCTGTAAAAAATATTGTTGTTGCGGTACAAACGGTAAGTTTGGTACCGCCTGGTCGCTATGAAAGCCGGACTGACAGGAGGTGCCGCCTGACTGACTCTCATGATACGACTGAGTATGCCTCATCGAGGTATTTCGCAGACTGTCTTGGAAGTTTGAAGTAGAGGCCGACTCTGACAATCGGTCACTCTTCTTCTGCTCTAGCAGTAGCCGAGCGTCTGTGTATGTTTTCCTCGAACCGTCCGCCTGAATATGACGAACAGGTTTCCTATTTCCTGGAGTAGGAAAACGGTATTTTGTGAAATCAAGGGCAGGTGGCTCCCACTTCCTAGATTTAGGATGAGGGGTCGCCTCTCGCCCTTGAACTGGTTTCCTCTTTCGTGAAGTGGAGGGTTTCTTAGTCGACTGCTCCTTGTCCAGAGCAGGCGGCTTCTTGTTGATCAACTCTTGAATTTCTCCCTTGAAGTCCCTCATGAAGGTCATGAGTTCGTTCCTTGTGATGGGAGCAGACCCATAAGTCGGCTGCTGCCGAACAGGCGGTGCGCCTGTTGGCTCGCTTCCAGTTTGAAGATGTTCCCGTTCCCTCCTTTCGGTATGACGGGTACGTCGGGCCCTTAGGGTCCCGTCTGAAGCTGTGTGAGCTTCAACTTCAAATTCATTCTCAGTATCGTGGTCCGACTGAACTAGAGGGTCGTCCAGGGGACGTCTCTCTTCAGGAGCCGGTACAAACGTGGATGCCATCTCAGAAGTACTCTCCCCACAGACGGCGCCAAATGTTTCGGGGTTTTCTGATGTCCTGCAGGAGAGTTACAATTCCAAGACTGGAACCGGACGCCTGTACCTGCAAAACAAACGGATGCTCCGGATGATTGGAGATCCGCCTCCGACGGTCAAGTTAGTACTTGATTAAGGAGTAATTAATGCGGAAATTAAAGTGATTGGGTCTCTCTAGGTGAGAGTGTTTAATGTGTGTAATCTGCGTTTTTAGCGTAATCTCCCTTAATGAGGATTAAGGGAGGTATTTATAACCTCGGGAAACGTGTCAATCTAGGTTTAGGTTAACCTTAGGCTGATTGGCTTCCCTCGGAAGTTGGGCCTAGGTGACCGGTTATCCCAGGTGTCATGGGAAGGACACGTGTCGTGTCGTAATTGGTCCATAGTGGACGGATCATTGCTTGACACGTGGCAGGCTCCTATTGGCCCATGTGACGGACACATGGCGGAACCTGATTGGTCCACTTGTCAGATGGTGATTGGTGGGGAAAAATCCCCTAATCATTAACCTCTCTTAAAACTTGTGTGACCTACAATGTTATTGTGAACTTAAAACTACGGCGTTATGTTAAATAGTGACCTAATTTTAACATAGTGCTCTTTATTATTCATATTGACCATTATATTAAAATTTCATTAAAAAAAATTAACCACTTATAGCTTTTATAATGTCACAATGACTTTTGTTTCAACATAATTTCCTTTATTTTCAATATAATGACCTTTTTTTTTATTAATAAAACAATTATAATGTCTCTAATATTAGTGGTTCACAATAAATAGTGTGAAACATGTCCATTTAAGAATTATAGTTCAATGTATATAATAAAACGGTAAAAAATGATAAATGTATCTTTGCCTAACAAAAAAAATATTGGTATCACGTTAAATCGTTGCCCTAAGAAAAAATATCAGTTCACATTAATTTTCAAATAACCATAATTCCCAAATTTATTAACGTAATTATATAAGCCCAAATTTATAAACGTAATAAGCCCAACTTTCCCAAATTGATAGTACCTACTTTATCCTCTAATTTCATAAATTTATGAACCTTAAACCCAAAAATTAATATAACAAACATCATCAACCAAATTAAGAATACCAATTTCCCAAATTTTTATTCGTTAAATCACTAATTTCGTTAAACCCGAATCCTCCAAATTTATAATCTCTAATTTATTTCAAGAATTTATAATTCCAAGATCCACAATAGCAAATCAATGATAGTTGGAGCTTTTTGAGATAATATTATTTTGAATCACCAAGGACAAGGATTATACTTATCTTGCAGTTTTAACAAGTTTGAGATAACTCTTATAAATAGTGTTTAGACAATTATATTCCCTAAAATATTTATTTACTTGCCTTTATACTGTTAATTGCCTTTTTAAAACTTAAAATAGCATGCAGATATTTATACCCTTAAAAAAATTTGTTTACATAATTTCCCTCATTAATGTTATCAACAACTAAATTTGTGAATCTTGTGATATAAGGACAAACCAAAAGAGCTCCCGAACATGGCTAGCTATGACACGTGTATTAACCACCCTATCAGTTGTAATACGCTAATGAAATGCAAAAATTAAGGGAAAAAAAAATAGTGAGTTTCACAAACAAAGTTATCTAACGAAATCCGTTTGCGGGTGATGCTACCCTAAGTTTTTTTTTTGGTTTTCAAAGTAGTATTTTGAAATAATGTTTTAAAAGGCAATTTTTCAAAAGTGTGTATTTAATACTTCCTCTGCTCCTATAATATTGCAACAATGAACTTTTAGCACTATTCTTCACTCTTGTTTGACGGTATAATATGATTTATACGTTAAGCAAAATATAGTCATGTTGTTAGATTCGTCTCTTATAATAGTTTCACAATATCAATTTTTATAATTTTAACTATTATACAATTATAGATATTTAACATATGAAATGTGCTTTGGGATGCGTAATTTCATCCTTATTGCAATATTATTCGAACGGAGGAAGTAAGTAGTTTAACAACAAAAAATCTTTGATAATTTTTACTGAAATATTATTGTTTTGTTGTTAAAATTAAATTATTTTAACTGAAATTAAATAATTTTTGCTAAACTTAAATTATCTTTAGTTTTTTAGTATTAAAAATCATTCTTACTAATTTGCCATTATGTTTGTTTTTAATGTTACAAAATTTTATTAATTAAAACTTAATTTTACTGAAATAAACTTATTTTTGCTGAAACCCAACTAAGCTTGTTTTTAATAAGAACTAAATTTAAACCCGATGCACGGGTTTTATTCATAGTTAAACATAACATTTAATATTAAATCGAAATAACAAAATATTAATACATAATATTACTATTTTTTTAATCTTATACAATTAAGGTTCACACATATACAAACAAATTTTAAATCTTCCAAACTTCCATCATTCTTTGTAAATCAATCGTTGATCGTGCCAGTTGATAAGTTGCGTAATTAAACTCGCCCCCTTGAATTGCAAAATTAACATCCTTGTAAAATTAACACTTACGAGTTATGACTGACTTCTTAATTATGATCACAATTCATCTACCGCATTCAAGAATTTCATGGTGTTCAAATTCTAAATTATGCTTCTTTGCCTGTAAAAGTTTTACGTTTATTTGTGTGGAACATTAGATGAGTTGATATAGGATTAAAAAAAGTATTGGATTTAAAGTGGTGATAATGTTTATTAGATATAATAAATTTTATTAACGTAGATCTTAATATTTTAGCCAAATAAATGATAAATGATGAACAATTTTTTTTTTATTTTTTTTTTTGCTGGAAAAAGAAAAAGGTTATATTTTTAGTTTAAATGATTTTTTTTTCTTATTTTTGTATCTAATCTAAAACTGATATTTTTTATAATTGAACATGATTTCATATTTTTTATTAGTATTTTTTAAAAAAATATTTTATTATAATCACTTCTTATATTTTCATTATTTTTTTTTCTAATCCAATTTTTTTTAAAAAAAATCAATTGAACGTGAATTTAATTTTTTAAGTTTAATAGTATTTTTGTATATATACGAAATTGTTTCTTTTCTCTTAGACTAAATTTTCAATTTAAAAGATAATATTTTATTTTTATAATAAATTTAAACCTTTAGTTTTACAATCCTACGTGACGCTTTAAAATAATAATCCTACGTGGCATAATCTTACACGTAACGCTCTAAAAAGGCAAATCTTACATGGCGCTCTAATAATATTTTAAAAATTAAAATCCTACGTAGCTCTCTAAAATCTTATTTTTGTATATATATGAAATAAAATAAATTGTTTTTTTACTTTAGGTAAAATTTTCAATTTTAAAAAATAATATTTTATTTTTATGATAAATTTAAACCTCACAAATTTTTATATATGTGGTTGGCCACACCGTGTGTCCAACCATTATGGGTGTTAGTTTGTTAGTGCTATAGGGGTTACTCACTCAGTCAGGGGTTACTTGGTCAGTTAGGGGTTACTCGATTGGTCAGGGGATACCCAATCGGTCAGGGGTTACCAAATCGGTCAGGGGCTACTCAGTCAAGGGTTACTCAGTTGGGGGTTACTTGGTCAGTCAGGGGTTACTTGGTCGGTTAGGGGTTACTCGGCCAGAAATTACTCATCGATCAAGGGTTACTTGGTGTGTGTCAGCTAGTCACACGATGTGGCCAGCCACACACAAAAGTTGCTATTAAACCTTTAGTTTTAAAATCCTACGTGGCGCTTTAAAATAATAATCCTACGTGGCATAATCTTACACGTAACGCTCTAAAAATGCTAATCCTATGCGACGCTTTAATAATTTTTAAAAATTAAAATCCTAAATGGCTTTCTAAAATCTTGGACAAAAACTCCCCTTTATTTATATACTAAAATGCCAAGTATCGTTGTCTCATGACCTGACTGCAAGACCAACTTTATTTATTAGTGATGTGATATGATATTAGATTATTAATTTAAGGGAAAGAAAACAGGGCCTTATATTGGATACCCGTTCATTTCATGGGGAAAACAGTACAGAGTATTGTATTAAATATATTTGCCTCACGTGCATGGCATGCACCCTTGACTAGTGCAACTGTGCAAGTATTACAAAAAGGTTGAAATACGGAGTATTTTAGATTTGTACCTGTAAAATTACCAAAAAATTCAAAGGCAAATATGATGGTGAAAATACAATCATTTACATGATTCAAATACCTTGTGTATATATACAATTATACTTTAATAATTCTACAACTACTGTAACAAGTATTTACAGAACAATATCTAATTCTTACTCTATAGTACAGCTCGAGTGCATCCCCCCTCCCCTCCACAAGACCCCACAATCAGAACAAGTTGTCACTACTGTGAAATCCTTATCAAGAGCAAGTGAGCAGCTGCTGTTAGCCTAATTGCTGAGCGATATAGTGTACACGTATAAGACTCTATGAGCATTCTTCCAAAAACAGACCATGGATGTTGCTGATACAACACAAATGACAGTTTAGAGCCGAGTAAAAATCCAGCTGTAAAAGATCACTCATCAGAGTCTGATCTATGTCCAAAAGAATCATAACAAATTCCCCAACATCTAATCGGGTTTGGTGTATTCGAGCAACATGTGTGGTGATCTATAGATTTTCACCAAGGTCCAGTAAAGGACTTCCTCCACTCCCAGTTCACCTTCTGCTCTTGCAGCATATATATCCTCACAAATAGCAATCAACCTGTACCAACCAGAATAATATGTTAATTTTGATTTCAGTATATTGTGTATGCAGAATGTTACTCTCACCATGCAGAAATAGTCATCACATTGTCCTAAAACCTAGTAAGGATACAATATGAGTTTAAAAATTGACCTTAAGCAGCAATGTTCTCCCCTTCACTTAAGCTAAGAAGTGTCATAGTCAATGATATAATCATAAACAATCTCTAAATTAGGAAACAACATTCTTCTCGACAACCTAATTATACAAATATGATACTCTGTATTATTTCTTCTGAATTGAGGGAGCATATGACATCTCATCAATCAAGCTAGGATGGGGGGGGGGGGGGGAGGGGAATCAACGAAGAAAATTAAAAAAATCAATGCAAAGAAAATTTATAAAAACCCATCTCCTAAGGGAATGTGGAATCAATCTAGGCTTTACCAGGAAACTTGGATACAAAGTGTGGACCCAAGAGTAAGACTTATTGATTTTCATGGGCTTTCTTCTGCTAGGAAGCCTAAACAAAGTGATCCCGTCAAAAAAAAAAAAAAAAAAAAAAAAAAAAAAAAAAAAAAGGAAGTGATGCCATAGCATTGGTTAATCAGCCTAGCCCAATCCCTGGTATAAATCTTGGTGCCAGAGCAACTGTAGATGACTAAAAAAAGATTAAGTTCCTAGCCCTAGAATTGGAGACTGGCCCAGAGACTGAACGTGCCCTTCAATTCAATCAACTAAAGTCATATTCTTAAGAATACTCTCCATTCTAATGCGATACGCGCCAATATATGTAATCCTTAGACGAAAATTAAAATTCTCTTATTCCAAATACTATTTCAACTAAGTGCTAGACCAACAATTCACTTTTATATCACAAACAATATATGACACAAATTACAATTCTCATGCTGAAATTATATACTTGTATATGTATATATTGCCAATGTGCTCCAACTTTATATACCTTGAACGTAGGGTCTAGAAGGGTTCAGTTTCAATTTTCCTTAAGAAGTGAGTCAAGTGACTGGCTTGGTGTTCAAATTCCTTTGCTATTTGACTTACCTAGTTATCTGACGTTAAATATTCAGCTGTTTCTTGGACCGCTTGCAGGTATTAAAATTAGAACCATTCACATTGATTGTCCAGTTTCATTTTTTCACAATGCATTTAAAAACTTGAACCAATATGAGAATTCATCATTTAGAAAGTGGAACTATATCTGAATAAATTGGTTATTAAAGCTTTAAAACTTGACCCATTAACAATTGGAACTCTGGTACCTGTACATGTGCTCAACCCAACTCCAATCTCCAAATTCTCAAACTATTGATACATGAACTTTTTGTCTTCTTTAAGGTATATCATATTGAACCAGCAACAATACAAACTAGCAAATGTAAAGTAAAGGAAAGCTGAGGTAGGAATACCTATCGCAGGAAGGAAGGTTCTCATATGGGATTCTCATTCTAAGGTCAGAGCATTGCAGCCTGATGAACCGACCAACAGCAAGCACAAATGTAATATAAAGACCCCAGATGCTGAATTTGCTTAAAGTATCTCCAAGAAGTCCCTCTAATTAATAAGAATCAAGCATTAGAAGACATCACAATTACTGAAGCACTAAAAAAAAACAGCCAAAAAAAAAAGACAAAAATTCATTTCTCAAGTTCTTTATGGTATGCCAGCGCTGCTCATACTTACGTGGTGTTTCTTCTGAGACCACGATTGCTGTAGGTCCAGTCAGACCTTCACATCTAGAAACGTTTAGTGGATTGACATCATAAAATGACCACCACTCAGGATTCTGATGATTGATGACAAGATCGGCATCGACTTTTAACTGAAACAAAGGATATTAGACAACATAATGATAAGAAATCTACTTGTTTTTATCCCTCAAGGAAGAACAAATTTCCACTGTTGCAATTTGAATTTAATCTTTCCAATAAGGTGACCTAATAACATAGATAAGAGTTTTTTCAGAATTCTTAAATAACAACAAATGATTTGCATAACTTCCATAAAATTTTAGCAAAAAAATCTTAATTAATATATATATTTCCTCGCTATTGCACTAAAATCAGATTAGACCTCTTCATATCACATAACACCATGCTAAGAACAGGGTTTTTTTTTTTTTTTTTTAATTATAAGGAAACATACAGAATGAACTAGTAAATGAATAAGGATGAATAAACAAACCACTAAGTAGCGTTATAAACAAATTTCTAATGACCTTGGATGTCATTTTCAAAGATTAAAAAAGAAAGAAGCTAAGCAAAATGCGAAATATATAAAGTTCAGCATAACATACCTCTGGTTCAAATGGTCTCACATCACCAGAACCAGTAACTCGGAAGAATCTTGGAAAGATGTTCTTCACTCGGAAACTATTCATAGAACCATTGAAAACAGACTGTAACTCAGACCTTTTTGGAAGATCAGACGCATTGTCAACATCTCTTTCATACTTCACAACCTCTTTTCCTTTAGGTCTGTCCCTAGTCAGTACCCAAGAGAAAATTATATGCATATCCCTGCCTACATTAAGAGACTCAGTGAATCTCTTTTGAACTACTTCTGGGACCAGCCAAAGGGTACTAGCATCAGCTTGGCAACATATTAATTGAATGTCATTCATATCATAAGTAGTCAATAAACCTTGAGGATCAAGATCATCCTTATTCTTGACATTTTCCCACTCCAGCTTTTCACAAAGGGTGGTTTGATACAGGGTCAGCCTACCACCATTTGTCTTAATATCAACCTGAACACTGACATCTCTAACAGGATTTGCGATGTTTGTTGGATTGCCACTGCTGTACATCTGCAAGGAAGATAGAGTATCAGAGTCTCAATAATGACATAATTCCATCTGTCAAAAGTACAGCCATAAATCATAAAAGTAAATTTATTGATTCCAAAGTATATATCCAATGACATAATTCTTTAAACAAGTCATTTTAACAAAGAAAACATACTAGGCCATGCATGGATTGGGGATGTGATTAAGGTGTAATAAAAGTCAAACCAGAAAAAACATAAGTGATTAGAGGTGTTGTTATAGGAGATAGGGTTTTTACAAATGAAATGAGGTAATTGTGACATGAGGAAAAGAGAAAGATAGAGAAATCATTACCCTCATATGGAGAGGGTAATAGTTACCCACCCTCCCCCTAGTATAACTACTACCCCAAAATGAGGGTAATAATTCCTCTGCTTTCACCTCTCACCACACCATCACTACGCATCCCCCTACCAAATACACCACTACTATCTCCTCCTTCCCTATTTTCGCTTTCATTTTGTTAAGTTTGACATTTATTACACTAGTAATACATGTCAATCCAAGCATGCCCATCAGCAAATAGCAGTATTGACAACAAAATCCTCAATTTCTTTACTCTAACATTGGTATACTACCTCCATTAGTTTTTATGTTTGCTCTACTCACTTATGTTTTTTGGTCCAACTCACTTTATTTCATTTTTGGCATAACACATTTACCATCTTATCTCTCTTACCCCACAATATTTTCCATTCTCATATCTCTTACTTTTACTTACACCCACCCACCTTTTTATACCGTCTCTTATACTTTAAATGTAGAGAAACAATATGTTATAGTAAATCAAATCGATGCAAAAGCAAAGACAACTAAAACGAATTTGGGCTGCTGCAATATTATGAGGACAAGGGTGACATCTACATCATCTAGTTATTGTGATTGAATGGCCCAAATAGGTTTTCAATGGTGATTCATGATGAAAACTATGAAGCAATTACACGCGTCAAAGGTAACCCAAAAAACATTATATATATGGAAAGTCCCAAGCTGGTATCAATTTTTAGGAAATTCATATTTACCCTTCAGAAATATTTAGTTTAATTATTAAAATAAATAAATATATAAGTCAGCATAAAACATTTAAAAAGACCTTCCTATAATTAATACTAATCTATACAAGATAGATAATAATCAAGACTAGAAATATACACTATGGATACAAGATATTAAAACTAGGGAAAGATCAACATTAAGAAAGGCAAGAAGGCAAAATAGAAGAAATATGTTTGTATATATAAAGCATGGAGTAATTCAATAACATACTTTGTTTTCATAGAAATGAAAAAAAATTGATTTTTTACACTATTCAAATATTAACTTAACCAAATATTTTTCCTAGTACTCCCACCGTCCTTAATAACTTGACATACTCCTTCAAAAGTCGTCCTTATTTACTTGACAAACTTCCATGAATAAAGAGGACCTGCTTTTTTTGGAAAAGAAAAAAATTACTATTCCTCCCTCTTCACTTTGGGCTCACTACCCACTTACTATTATTACTAAAAACAGACCCATTACACACTAGTTATAATAATAATGATATAAACAAAAGAAAACAAAGACAAACCCTATTAGGGCTACTACTACCCACAAGCTATAATAATAAATAATAACTCCACTACCAACTCACATGATAAATACTAAGTCCATTGAATTGCCTAAATGTATACTTTCAATGTATCAAATATTATGTAACTTGTTGTGGAGTCTAAATAAATATTTCTATTATATCAAAAATTGATAATTTTACTAATAATAAATAAAAGATATTAATAGTTATAGTTATGCATTGGCATGTCGTGTGTTGACACATGATATTCAAATGGTTGTAATTTTCAACGAGGCAGAGTAAGTATATTGTGTTATTATGTTACTAAATAAGTGGAAATAAGGTATAAATAACATGGCCTTAGTTCAATCCTGTAAATTAATGTTCATATATATATATATATATATATATATATATATATATATATATATATATATATATATATATATATATATTACACAATAAATCAATGTTTATATTATCATTATATGTATATAATGCATTCTAAAATAAATATCAACATATAGTAAATTTCGAACATATTCTTTTTATGCACTAGTATCCACTAATGGAACACTTTAAGCTCTAATTTCTTATATTTTGATCAAAAGGAAACACATTAATTATCATCATATAGCAACATTGATAATAAGCTTTTAAAATCATTTTTCTTTAAAATTGTTATACATAAGTTGTCGTTCACTCGATTGAAAAGTAGAGAAAAAACCTTGTACAAGTAAATAAAATTAATACAAAAGAAAAGAATGATGCTAACCCTCCTATTCATAATGGCACACCCACTTTCTCTCACATCTTTCTTAGTACAAAATTATTTAATAGTGCCATTATAAACTTTTGTAGTGCCAAAATAAGCACTTGACATACTAAGTATGTTATTATGTTAACGAATGACAATCCAGAGACAAGAGAAACAGTGAAGCTCCAAAGAGAAATGTGAACTACTGTGTTTCACAATTACTGACACCCCAAATATCGAACTTGGAAACTTCTATAATCTAGCAAAATATCCAAACCATTAGCTAGGCACACAATGCTCCAAAAAGACTTACTCTCTCTATTACTCCCGAATCTCACATACATAGCCACCAGAACAAAATTTAGCATTTAAGTTATATTTTTTTTTTATTATTAACTTCATCTATGTATAACTATATTGATTTGGGAAACAAAAAGAAGAATGAAAGACTAAACAATTAAATAGAACAAGGAATTAAACATGTGAGTTTATAATTGAGAAATTAAGCATCAATATTGAATTATAACTTTTCTATCATATAAGAGGGAAATTCATTGTAATATCCATGTGTTAAGCCTAATTACACTAAGGGTATGTTGAGAAGCAAATATTTGCTTAATCAAAAAATTATCAGATCAGACCACATCATATTATTATGTCTGTGTTTGCATATCGATATATAAACAATTTTTCCACAATTTAAAAATTTTGAAACTTTCATAATTGGAAAGTACACATTAACAGGAATATGAACCTAGTCTATGATGGCCTCATGAATTAATAAGTTCATTAAGATGACCTATTATCAAACATTCAAGTATATTTTCTAATGAAGATATTATGTGCCATGAATTACTCGGGTACTTAAATTATACTTCCTCCGTTTTTTTAATATTGCACCACTTGCCTTTTAAGGAAGTTTTACAAATATTGCACCATATCCATTTTAGGAAAAAAAATATTTGTGTTCACACTACAAATACCTAATATGCCCTTACTTTTCAACAGATGAGTGTCATTTATGACACTATTTTATAGTCATGTTACCTAGATTTTAGGTTAGTTCCTTTAGCATTTTAGTGCTTTTATCGATGTTTTTGGTATTTTGTGATTTATTTCCTTATTGCGTGTTTTTATAGGTTATTGAGTCATTTTGGATGATAAAAAGATGAACTGAATATAGGAGCCAATGTCAAATGCAAATAAATATATGCTGAGTTCCTTACTGACGCAAAGGAACTTACTAGCAGTCCGAGATCTGTCCAGATTCATTGCACTTGTGCTCACGTTTAGAAGAAACTGCCTAGAGGAACTCGAAATGTTTTTCTTCAAAAACCTTTCTTCTTTGCTCTGTAACATGAGTGAGTAATTCTTTATGCTCGGTAATAGTTAGAGGAGGCCATGTAATTAGTATTTGAGACAAGTTACTTTGGGTTATAATGATTATTAGTTAATGTTTTGGGAATATTCTTGAATTACTGTTTATTTCTATGAATGATGATTTCTTATAAGTAGGTGCGGAACTATTTGTTTAGGTCTGATTTCTATTGCTAATTAATACTACTAAGTCCGTAATTACTTGGGAATGTTAATGAAGTAGCAACCAATTGTAGAGGAGGACGTTCCACACTATAAATTGTAAAGTAATTCTTGATGTAGGTGAAACCATGTTCCAATAATGTCATGGTTGTCTAGGCTTGATGTTTTCCTAGTTCCTAATGATGTCAACACGTTAATTCCTTGCTCGTAGTATAGGGGTTATTTGTTTGTTAGGGTTAGTGAAAGTCGTACCGGATCTAACCATTAATAAGGGAAAACAAAGGAACTTGTTCCATAAGTCAAGCTGTTCCTAGAGGGTTAATTAATGTGTAAATGATTTTACGAAGTTCCATGGCTGGAATCTGATTATCTACTGAGTGTTTTCTCCATTGATTGCTTGTTCTTTAGTTATAATTCCTTTTATCTATTGTTCCTTTAGTTATTTTAGATTAGATTTTTCATATCAAAACCCCCCCAAATCGTGTTACTTTTGTGGAACTTGGATATGGAGACTTGTTACTTTAGACTTACTTTCCTCGTGGGATCGACTCTTAATTGCCCTAGCTATTTGTTAAGGTGAATAAGGTTTAACTTTGTGTGCACTTCGACAACACACCAACAACTCTGTATTTTTACCTTTCTCTCTCATCCTTTTTTCCACTTCCCAAAAATTTGTGCCAAACCCTTATGGTGCAATAATAAAAGAATGGAGGAAGTATATCTTATCTCAAGGACACATGTGCCCAAAATACAAAACAAACATTTATGTTTACATAAGTATGAAAAAAGACAAAGTTACCTTCCATAGTAAAGGATCCAATTTTAAATACATTTTAGATGATTCAACAACAATTTATAAATCAACCATAAGTAAAAACCAGATATGCTTTTGCAAATTGGTCACTATTGGATGAAACTTTTTCAGCATACTTATTTTTAGTCTATTTTCCTTGTTCGTTATTTTATTTTTTTGGGTGGGGGCTATTGATTTACCTGAAAAATGATAAAGTTTACATAGGGAATTTTTTTTTTTAATTGATTGTTCTACATATAAGTTTGTATGGGATGCAACACAAATGAATTAAGAGTACATTTGAACATATAATATGATGAGAAATTGCTTTTCCCCAGAAAGGAATAGTTTGAGGAAATATTGTATTCTTTATCATCATATTAAATCAATTCTTCACTATTTTTTATTTATAGGAAATATTATTTCCCTCAAAGTATAGCAAACGTCAGTGTAATTGATTAAAACTTCTACCTACAGTGGTGAAATTACAGTAAACCTCAACATTCCTCCCTCAGAATGTTTCAAAAAGGTATACACTACTAATGGAAAAACTGAAAAAGAACTGATCATACAACCCAACAAAAAAGAAGATTAAAAAGTATGTGAATTGTTTTATAGTTAAGCTAAAAAAGGGCTCTGGAAAATGTCAAGGAACATGTTTCAGAAGAGTTAGAAACTCAATGGACCTCTGAAAAAAGCAACATCGTCAGGAGCCCTATCCTGGGAAACACTTACTTTTTTGCAACAGCGATATTGAAAAAGTTTACAAAAACAAACATTGTGTAAGGAGTAAGAACATATTGCTTCTTCATCCAAAACATACTTAGAGAATATCTAAATCATAACAGAAACATTGTCTACCTCAATTTCGATATTAAAATAGGCCATCTTACAATACAAACTCAAGTGTTTTTCCCCATCTTTGTAAAGATTATCACCAAGCAAGACAGCTCTATTTCTATTTTTATTTTTATTTCAAAGTTAGCCACAACTACAGAAGAGAAATAGTACCCACCCACTCTAGAACTGCTGACTTGCCGTGTCAAACTCAATAATATGGTACCTGCCAACATAGTTACTTCCCTGGTATGGATGTCCCATAAAAGGATTTATGAATATATTTCCATGTAATCTTGCATGGGAGGAAAAGGGGGTATACATGTATACAAGAAAAAAAAAAAAAAAAGCTGACAACATAGAGAGGGGCAGTATTCAAAGGTGGTCACTCCAATAACAATCCGCAGTTTTCCTTTTACCATCACAGTTGACCAAGGGAAAGGAAAAAGGTATTTCCAATGTTATAAATTCTAGACCCTATAATGAAGATAAAATATTTGTCATTATGGACAGGAACAAACAATTCTAACAAAGGGGTAGTAATTAGTTATATGTTTTAATTGAGTCAAGTAACAAAAGATGAAAACAGAACATCCAGTTGTATAGGTTAAATGACTTCAATTCAATAATCAATTAATGCAAATTATTCAAAATTCATATTTTAACAAGATTCTTACCAGCATAGGAGCCCAAATGACACATATCAAAATGAGGAATAGACATATGCCACTGCAGAACTTAGTCATTTTTGGCTGTTTCTCTCCTTGTTTATGACTTGCTCTATTTAAAATGGCATCACATTTGACGAGATATAAGCTTGCATTTATGTCCTCCAACTGTTCAAGATACATGGCAACATTATTAAACATTGAATAGGTCTTTACTACATCGATAAAAATGGCTAAACAAAGGGAAGAAACAAAAATGCAAGGCCACAATTATGATCAATGTAAATCAATTGAAAATGTGAAATTGACAATTTAAAAAATTACCAACGGGAAAAATTAAGTCAAAAAATCACAAAGAACACGATATAACAGTAGATAATACTCCCTCTGCTTTCCTAAGTTCTACTCACTTTTCATTTTCATCCGTTTTTCTAAGTTCTACTCTCTTTTTTCATCCATTTTTCTAAGTTCGACACACTTTTACTTTGATTCCTTTATGACAACCTTTATTCATTTTTTATCAGCTAAAGCGCTCACCAAGTTTATTTAATATGACTTAAATGCCCCTACAATCATCAACTCTCTCTCTCTCTCCTCACAACACCTTACAACCCCCACCATCACCACAACAAACACCAACCACCATTGGCACTCGTACAGCCACCTCATTCAATAGTTCTCTTCTCTCCTCCGACACCAATGACCCTCCTTTTTCTCTCTCATCCAAAAACCCCAAACTCTAAAGAAGAGAGAAAAAAGAAAAACAAAACCTTCAATTTATTCTTCAGTTTCCTCGCAATCTTCTTGTTCATCATTCTACTCCCTTGTTCAAAATTGTAAAATTTGCTCAAATTCCCAATTTCCTTCTCTTTTGATACCTAATGACTGACGTATTCATCTTCCTAATTGCAGCACCTCTCTCTCCTCTCGCTCTCAGTCCCCAAAACCCATTTACTGCAGCAATTCCCTGGTTAGTTTTTCACTCAATTTGACTTATTTTGTGTTTGTGATTTTTCACTAAGATGGGTTATGCTAATTGGTAAATATTCTGCTAAAAATTGATGAATTGGATTTAGTTATTCTATTTAATGAAATGTGATTTGGTTTCTAAGCTAATTGACAAAGTGGGTTTGTGTTATTTGTTAAAATGAACTGTGCATTGATTTTCTATTTTCTGTAGAAATTGATGAATTGGTGTTGAGTTATTCATTGTTGTCTTGGTGGTGCAGCTGGGCTTTGTGGTTGGGTCAGTTGTGTGTGTTGCGTTGGGCTTGGGAATAGGTGGTGAAAGATTAGGTTGTTGGTGGTGGCAGTGCACCACCAGAGGAGAGAGAAACAGGGGAAGGAAAAAAGTACATGGACGTGATGGTTGTAAGGAGTAGGGTGGGGGAAGAGGAGAAAGAAGGGATATTTTTTTATTTTTTTATTTTAATGTGAACCATAGTTTTTGACCAAAGATTAATGATAAAACGCTCACTACGGTCATAAGTTGGAATAAATTTTATTTAGGGCCATTTTTGAATTTCAAAATTAAATAAAAATAAAAAGGTAGCAAAAGGGCTAGCATGAAGAATTACCCTAAAAAAGAAAAAGTAAAGGGTTTTCTCCATACCATTCCATTGGAGCATTTGGCTGTAGTGTAAAACTTCAGGAATCTAGATCTTCCTACAGGTTGGGTATTAAATAAAGTGTTTACCTTTCCTTCAATTTGCATCCTTGCCAACATCTTTCAAAAGAACATTCTCTTGCACATTCATCAGGTTTCAAAAGGCTTAATGTCGCCTGTTATTGACCTCTCATAATAAAAGTATGGCACACCCGCTAATATAAATGTTCCATAGTTTAAAAAAAAAATAAAAAAATTGACCCCCCCCCCCACCACCCAAAAAAAAAAAAAATCCCTAAATTAATAATTTCAGTTAATACTACCTCAGTCAAGAACTGGTGTTCCTAAATTGAACTTGAAGTATGTGAACTGTGAACATCAAAATATTAGAATATACACCAATTCATATCACAAATGAAGCAGTAAATATTCCTATCAAAAAGTAATTTCAGTATAAACCATCTTCAATAGTTTAACCATCATCCTGAGTAAAAAAAAGAGTCAATGATTGTCCTCAGAGACCATAATAATGGATAATGAAGTTTAATTGTGGATGGGCATTACATACAATCATACTTTATTGGGTAACAAATTATAAAAAGAAAAAGAACAGAGGCATAAATAAAAAAAAAAACAGCAAGCACACTTGTCAATGATTATAAGGAGAAAACGGAATGAATACACTGCAAGCTACTATTACCTTCAGCCAGTCATACATCGTCAATGATGTTGTAGTACATGACCAGTCAAGCACACAACGTAATTCATAAAGGAAAGGAAGAGCTCGATAAAGCCGATACCCAAGGTAGTTAATCCTCGAAACTGTGCTGGTCAAAAATTGGCGATACAGTGTACTTTTATGTGGCATTCCATAGCGAATTTGTATTGCCTGAAGTGCTAGGGACACTGCTTTTGTCAGAAAGATAGCACGAAGTGCTAAAATTCCAGCGTACTGTTGAAATGGTTGCATGTTCCAAGCATATTCTGTAACTGAATACGTAAAGAGTACAAGGTTGAAAAGGTAGAACAAAACTTTCCCCGTGGCAAATGAACATAGGTAAATAATTCGATCAACCACTATTAAGAAAAAGATAACCTGCATACAAACAATTAGCAAAGTTACTATACCATCACACACACACATAAGCTTGGATTTTTAACAAAATGCACACTACCAGATAAAAGTAGCAATAAAAGTAATGATGCGATTACAAAATTTAAAATAACAGATTTAGTAATTGAAATAAAAAACATAACATTCTAAAGTTATTCCTACTGTTTGATACTTACATTTGATGGTCACTGAATCAAAGGACTAAAGGTGGGGGTGGGTTGGATTGGGATCTTCATTAAAGGGTAAGGGAAAGAGCAGACTGATTACCTTAGATGTTCCTAGTTGGGATAATTTTGTCATTTCCTTCGCCCTCTTCTTATTTTGATTTACCTATAACTCTATAAGTCCTCTACACTAACTCCCCACCCCAATTCCCCAAGGTTTCTCATCTCCATTCCCCACTTTCTACCTGGTTCTTTCTCCCTCCAACAACAACAAATAAGCCCCAATGATAAATCATCAACCGCTGACTGCTCTTAATCTATGACACAGTCCTCCAATTATTGTAGCTTCCCTCTGATCTCTGAATTTGTGTCTCTCAACTTCTCTCTTCTTATTCATCACACCAAAGGCTATTCTGTGTGGTGGAATTGTACAATGCTGGTGATGATGAGATTGTGCAGTGCTGATAAGGTTGCGCTATTAATCATAATAAATCCCAGATCTTGTGCGGTGGGTTGTGTGATGCAAGTGGAGTCTACTGGTGTGAAAAGGGGAGGCACAATTGTGTTAAGTGGAGGTGGTGTAAGGTTGAGTGGGGCAGTGCAGGTAATTATATGGTAGAGAGATATGTTGTGGTTTTATTTTCTTATTTTCCCTCCATTAACAAACATCAAAGCTTTGAGGGTTTTTCTTTCTTTTCCCTTTCTTGCTTCTTCTCCCTTATCCCTCTACATAGTAAATGCACCCAAAAGTTATCAATAGACAGTATGAACAAGGAGATTGACATTTCTACTTATAGCATTATAAAGAAAGGGACCAGTTCCATCTCTACATCTTCTTACTTTGGCTTCTTTTGAACCTTAAGAAAATTTAAATAAATATAGACGGAAGGAGTAACTTTCTACTTGATTTATATCTAATATATTAATTAAGATACAGAAAATATATGAAGATACAAAAAACAAGACTTAGAATCTTTGTAGAAAAATAATGGTAAGACAGATATGCATGCTAAATTACAGTTTACATTACTGAAAAACAACTCAAGACCTCGGACCTCCATAGAGTATCACCAAAGGCATGAAAGATGTATAATCAAATTCTGCAAAAACTCCCAAATTTAAATTTTTTTTTTTTTCCTTTCTAACCATGACACCTACAGAAAATAAAATAAAATAAAATTATGCAGACCTTCAACAAAATTTGTGCCTCTAATTCTTCTTCCTCTATGCCTACTTAAGAAAAGGTAAATTGATCAGTTATAAGTGTCTTCCCTTGTAGAGTTATGATATGCATTATTCAGGTAAATCTTACTGCAATACGGACTTTCCAACTTCGTAGAAAGGCTAGGGAAGTGTGCACAAACCATATACATTAATTTCTTCAACTCTGCGACTATAGAATTTGCTTTAATTCTTTTTGATAGTGAGTCAATGAACATTAGTGTACATAGACCGTGAACACAAAATGTTTTCAACTGATTGATTTCCAAAATATATACGAAATCTTAACACATCAGTATGACACCTGACCAAATACGACACATAAATGAAATAGTAACAGATGTAGAGGCTTACCATTAATATGAACACATACTCCTTAGGGAACTGATCTTCAAGTTGATAAACACCAAGAAAATCACTTTTATTCTTAATGACTGACTGGTAGAAAATAGCAACCAAAAAGAAAACTGCAAGATCAGCACCAAATACATAGGCATATAGATCAACTTCTCTTTTTCCACCACCAATTACAGATAGTACAGGATATGGGAATCCAACTTCTTCAACATATCCCAAACATTTTGCAATAAGAACCTCTCTTGCAACATCGGAAGCAGGTGTTAGTGATTTTGACCAACCCTTAGACACACAATCTCGCAGCGGAAGCGCATGTACAACTTCAAACACAGCCAAAGCTACATTGGGATTTTCTTCACTCCTCTCAATACTCTGAATGTTAACCCTGCAAGCAGAAGGGCAAACATTTGGATTTTCTCCCTTGCAATGTTCACTGTGGACGAGCTGAAGCAATTGATTCATTCCTGACTCAATCTTCTCAGGTTGAATGCCATCTTCTGGCCATGCCCCAACGTCCATGGACAGCTGAACAAAATATGGAGGAGACTCTGCTCCCTGAGTTAGAGATTTCCAGTAACTTAAGCAGCTTCTAGCTATCATCTCCACTCCATCTTTCAGTGGTTGGAAAATTTTGTTTAGCTTTTCACTCCAGCTAGAACATGGGCCAACATATTTTCGTTCATGCATTTTTCTCTTGATAGCATTAAACTCCGATAATGCACTCCAATCACCATCTTGTGCAGTTATGGAGCTTTGTAAAAGCGTAAATAGGTAGACCAAAAAGAGAGGCAATGAGCTTATCACAAATGATGAATTGATTTTATGATGAGGAAAACCCAACTCTTGAAGCAAAGTCAAGTCAATCAATCCACAGTGTTGAATGATTATTTGGTACAAGTATTCAATTAAGATGTAAAACTCTGTATAGATTAGCATGACAACCCAGAAGGTATAGCTAGGGCCTGTGTTAACACATAGAGCATAGAAAAAAAGGGCTGCAAGGTATACCATAGATAACAGACTGAAGTTCCAAAGGAAAACAAGAATAAAGCAACAGTAACAAACAATATCATTATTGGATCGCATCTGGGACCATATGTGCCGAAAGATTCTCAAAAGCTTCAGCTTCACAGATTCGGACATAGTTCTACTCTTGTCAGACTGCAATGAAGATGTACGAGCTATATGAACATTTTCAGGATTTTGGCTCTCCATTTCACCACATCCTACATCATCATCAGAAGAATGGCCTGTCGAATCCAAATCTTCTTGTGATACATTCAAAAGACTTGCAAGATTGGTAACAGCTTGATTTCCAAGAGATTGTACTTGAGAAACACCATCACCTATCAGCTGCACCGCAGATTTCAATGGGTGATCCTTTGACTGGCCTTTAGAGCTTTCTCTTTTTTTTTCAACTACTGACTGGTGATCAGAATCCTCAATTTCAGTAATTTCACCAAAAGATATTTCTTTCGAATCTTGAGTTGTTAATTGTTCCGCAATTGGACTTTCAGATTTTCTTTTAACTGGAGATCCAAGCAATTCTGAAGGTAGAGCGAAGTCACCAGAAGTCTTCTGCCCCTCTCTTAATGTGTGAGCAGCCCTAAAACCTCTATCAAAGTTAAAAGAGGGACTTAACAACTCCTCCTTATCAGCAGCCGTAAAATTTTTATCCACAATAAAAGAGGCACTTCTCCTTTTCCTTAAACCTCCACTTCCAGGAGATAGCTGACCATGATTACCCGGAGAGTTCATACTGTGAAGCTGAACTTGCAGGTCAAGCATCTCTGACTTCATCTTCTCCACTTGCATATTCCGTTGTCTTTTCTCCTCTTCAGTCTCACGGATATGCTGTAACTGTGATGTCTTCCATGCAGCCTTTTTCTCTTGCTCACGTACAATAGCTCCAATTTGCTCTGCCTCAAGATATCGTGATACATGTTCAAATTCTGGAGATGAGAACATATATGACTGCAGTGAAACCAGCATGAAGATGACGATCTCAACCAATGCAGATCTTGAAGTAATACGAAACCCGTAATCATATTTATAAAATCCAATGGCTTCATAAATGTAACCTACAGTGCCACACTTTCCTTCATTGAAGACTCCAATAAAAGGAGATTGATATGCAAGAGACAGAACTATAATTACAAAATTATACATGCGCAAGAACTTGAAGATTTTGTTTCTTTTCCGAAGAATTTCCAATCTCATCCGAAAGAACACCAAAGCAAAACCAAGATATCCAAGGTGCAGAATGTCATACTCCAAAGTTCCAGTAATCAAAATCAAAGTAAGCACAAGATCCAGCAGGTGGCAATAACAGTAAAGTCTCAGATAGTCAAAAATGGTCCACATACTTTTTGTTTCAAACGAAAGGTCTTTCCAAACAAATATGTTCTTGCGCTGAGACATCATCTGATTAAAAGTAAATGACCCTGATAAATTGGGTGATCTGTCAGCACGCAGCTTGAAACAAGCAACGATGAAGACTATAAAGTAGCTGATAAGCATTCGAGTATCATCCACAACAAGCCCTGCAAAACATGATGAAAAGTTAAAAATTAAGATTTATGGCTTAGTTGCGTAGTAGGAATCTAAAAGAGAAATAATCTAGCAAAACAAGACCTACTATTGTATTATAATCATCAAGAAGTGGAATTCTCCATCACGAAAGGAAACGACAACAAAAAAAATGGCTGCATAAATCCCTTTTCCAAATTTTACAGAACATTGACATAAGAATGCAGATTAATATTACTTATAAAATTAGTATAGAAGATTACTTTCATTACAGAAATAGTTTGGTTTGTAAAATTATGATTAACATAAGAATTTCATTAAATTACTTCATAATTTTTTGACAAAGATATCCACTATTAGCAATGAGAAAGAAGGGATATAATGAGTAGTCAATGCCTATCAAGAATTATTTTCTATAGTAGTTAATGATATCTCATATTTTCTAACTCTCTACTCCAATTCTCTTTCCATAAACTTGCCAAAAAAAAATCTTAAAGCAACCAGCTCCATTTTCAAATGGTCCCAGGGAAAATGGTTAAGAGATGCTTTTACAAGGATTTGACAGAGCATGAAAGAATAAAAAGTGACATTTTGATCTATGGAGTGTTATAAATGATAATAGAACAACCATGTGTGACCTTATATTGAGCCCAATGGACAAGAAAGTGACATTGTGATCTATGGGGTGTTACAAATGATACCTTACGAGTGGGGATTTCGGACTAGGCAGCAGTTCAAGAGAGACATGTATGTCAATCTGTCATCAAAGAACAACAAAAAGTTGCAATCTTCTTACAAGACTACATACTATGTAACACCCAATGAAGGTAAAATATTCCTCTATAAGGAATTGATTGTACTACCTATACCAACAAAGTGTACATTTCATTTTTGTATGGCAAGTATACCTTTTTCGAAGAGGTCATCTATCTCTTTGCTTGGCTGTGAAGGTTACACATAGGTCACAACAAAGTGTGATGTGGGAGAGAGAGAGAGAGTCCAAGTGCTACATGCTTCACAATATATTTGCTGTTAAAGAAACAACATCCACCTGATCCTTTGGTAAAGATTTAGCACTATGATCACAAGGGTATATTACTGTGTAATATTCAATATTTAAACAAATCTCCACAACATCTTTGCTGTTAAAGACACGTCATCCACCCAATCATTTGGTATAGACTAAGCACTATGATCTTGAGGGTGTATAACTGTGTACTATTCCCTAAAACAAAATCTCCAATCTTCAAACTTATAATTTGACCAAACACCAGGCATAAAACATCAAATGATATAAGAGACATTAAGAAGTCTGTGAAGTTGTTTCCTTCCACCAATATGTAAATAGATGATCTGTGGACTCATTTTTCCTTGCATAGATGACAAAGTAAAGGGTTCTTTGTGCTAGGGTAGCGGGGTTTGGTTGTAAGTGCTCATAGTGTAAAGGTATGTTAGTGAAGAACAAATCAAATGATACTTCTCGAATTATACAGTTCAAAACAAATGAAAAGTTGGCAAAAATTAGAACCATTCTCAATTTCCCAGGTCTAGACGAATGAAGCAACTCAAGAGGAAAAGAAACTTCACATGCCTACAAACTAATGGTAGTCTTAAATACTTCTAGGTACGACCATTTGCATTGCAGCCCAACCGCCCACACCCCCCCCCCCTCCCCCTAAGGGCTTCTTATTCTGATATCATAATAATTTACATCTTAATCCTACCAGCAAACTAATCACTTAAGTAATGATCAGAATTTGCTCAATACTACTGCATAAAAAGGGGAAAACAAATACCATACCTAGCCAACAGCGTTGACAATACTGAAAGTGTAGCTTTGAGCTTTTCCAGCAATCATGGCAACGAACAGCAATCTCATGTGGGGATTGTCGGTTCAGAGACATCTTATTCTCCCAGATGGAAAAATATTCAAGAATCAGGACACATGCAAACAGGAAAACCAGAACAGACCATAGCTTTCTAATAATTCGTCGATCCAAAAGAACAAAAGTAGCAAGCAAACCAATGTAGAGCAGTGAAATGACATTCAAGAGGGCAAAACTAGCAAGAAGCAAGACAATCATGTTAATTTCTAGACCAAAGAGGTTAAACATATTTTCGATCCAAAACATCAGGTAAACTTTCAAGGTCGTCTTTTGCATATCAAATCTCTCATTTCTTAAAGCAAGAATTCTCCTCTTGTTCCACTTTTGACTCTCCTTGATGGTTTCCCAAAAGTATCCAGACGAATATCTTTCAGTTCTGGAATTCTCAGATTCTCTTCCCAAAAGAATTGGTTCAGAAGGGTCAGTGGTATTTGATTTCCATGTATAGCTTGCTGTAGTCTTTACCATATCAGAAAGTGTGGAATGTGGTACTGAGCTGTTTTCTTCATCATAGCTGGACATAGTAACTGCATCATCTTCGGCTGTGACAAATAAAGGACATGGCTCCTCCCACTCACCCATCAATACATTATTATTTGGCATCCTATCCAACCAATGAAAAACATTATATTGAAGTGTACAAGCAGAAATTACCAAAACATTTCCTCTCAAGCTTGATTCTATTCCCCAAAACCCAGGCTCAAACACTTGGAGACCCAAGACATGAGACACATCTGAATGCATTTGGCCAGGGAACATCTTTGCCTGCTGACCCCACATCTGGAAAAGATATTCCACCATCACTACAAATCCTGTATAAACCAGAAATGACTTTGACGGGACCCTTGAAGTTTTAGGGAAAGTTGAGCAGATGATCATGCCTAGAAGATACACAAAACCTATAGCGTTTATTTGTGATATGGCTGCATAAAATAGAGCAGCAAACAGAAGTTTATTGCTGTGCCATATCATAAACCTTCTCATAAAACCAACTGTTCCTGATTGCAGCACATTAGTGTCACATGGTTCATTGTACTTGCTCTGTCTCCTTTCATAGCTATAAAGTTGCATTACAATCAAGATTGCCATTGATTCCCAGATGTTATCCAACAGAGAAGCTTCAGGTTTATAACCAAGGTTTGGGTAAAGATCAATAATATGAGATAGCCATGTTTGAAAGCTAGGAAAAATGCTGAGGCTATACATGAAGACGAACACCATTATAGCATAAGCTTTCAAGGGAAACCATAGGCGTCTTTTTGTCTGTTCAACAAGTTGTCTTCCAATGATCCAAAAAAGTAAAAGAAAAATATACCCAAATGATATATAATTGGGTCTAACCAGGTATACAGCAATAAGTATAGTCAGAAAAGCAATATAGGTCCCCCATGAACGGTATACTGCAAGAAATTTCTGCCCTACTGCACTCAGGTATGATGCTATTCTTCTCTCTGTAAGAATAAGGGAAAATAACATCAGAGATTAAAAAGAGATAAGATACAAAAACGAAGACATACATCAAAGAGCAGACAAGTACATATTTGAATGAACTTAACGTGAAAAATACATTGTCTCCTCAAGGTAAAAAGAATCTCAGTGCACAGTAAACATAGCTATATTTGCACGAAGGAAGCACTGAAGCATCCCAATTTTACAAAACTATTGCAAAGACTAAAACCAACTTTCTCCAGATAACAACATATCGACACAGTATAAGTAGCTCTCATTTGGAACATTCGAATCATAGGATTGACCAAAACCTGCTATCAAAACATCCTGCTAAGCAATCCTTCTCGTGGAAAATGCATTAATACAAGACAATTTTAGTCCAACAAAAGAAAAGCAGTGCCAACAGTATGAAGCTCAAAATCTCAAATAGAACAGTGCAATAACACTTAAAGAATACACCACTACTTCCTTTAACCTTTCGAACAAAATACACTTTTTACAAGTAACAAACCATTCGAACAAAATACACTTTTTAAATGTAACTAACAATCAATACAAAAACACACAAAGGCGAGTGTCATCTATATACAAAATAAGTCGCAAAACATCTTGATAGAAGCAGGTTAAATATAACATACCATGAGAAGGACCATTGCTGCTGTCACCACTAGCTGAAGAGCAATAAACTGACAATAAAACTGACTTGTTTAAACCAGCTTTAAGCACACTGAATCCCACTGGAGGGTAAGGTGTATGTTGTACAAATGCTGAGAATGAAAATAGCATGTCAAATCCATGATTATGTATGGTGCAAAAACACGCAAGAAGAGCCGTTTCCAAGAAGTCCCATGAACTATCACGAAGACCTACATCAAGGCAAGTACAAAATTGATGAAGATGATTCCTTACAAATGAGCCCTTCTCAGAGTAAACAGAATAAACAAAATTATGGTAAAACATTTTAAAAAAAGAACATGCACAACAGCACAAGTATACCTAGTTGTGACAGTATTTCGCTAGTTAAAGAGCCTCCATGCTCCAGTTTTGTAGATATCAGGTTTATTTGAAGAATGTACAACAATGCAAAATGAGCTTCGCATAGAAGAATTAATGCCTTCCGTATCTTCCTGCTGATATTGTGTCCCAAAAGATATATCAAAAAGAATATCACTGCAATAGGTTGAAATGTTCAGTTAAAATTTATCAAAAACCTCAACTAATGTTGATAATATTGATTCCACTCCAGACAAACAACACATAAACAGAAAATAGAGGAAAGTTAAAAGAAAATTCATCAAAAACAGTAAGAAGCAAATACAAAAGGCCTTTCACATACTGTAAATAGCATGAATAAATCCAGGCTTCATGGCTATCAGAAATATCAAAGCCAACATGATAGCCCGGGAGCATTTCCGAAATCCCCAAGCAATTGTGGCAACAATAAGCACCTTGGTCTCCTCCTTAACTGCAAGAGTGCAAGTTCAACGTAATGGTAAAAAGGTAGATATTAGAGATGAAAAGGCAACAAAACAAGGGCAACACAGTAGAAATAGAATTGGGCAGGATATATGACACCTAAATTGACTTTTCAAAATAACTTTGAGATTCGTTCCAACATAGATTAAGAGTCCACCTAGATCTTGCATAATTTTTAAGGAGGTAAATATTAAAAAAACAAAAACAAAAACAAAAACAAAAAAAAAAAAAAAAAAAAAAAAATTCTAGAGGAATGCAACTGAATTTAAACTCTCATGCTTCATCATAAGTTGATTATGTTACAACACTCTGATGTACGGGTTAATAAATTCATTTTAGCAATTGAGCCATAAAATGCGACTTAAACAAGTGAGCTCATAATCATTTCCTTCTACATCAACAAAAAAATTGCAAACCGGATCACAATCTCTAACAAGGGAGTCTCCAGCATGTATAGATTAACTAAAACATTACTCAGAAATTTGAGAGGCTATTTAACAAACATCAGTGAAAAGGAACAGGAGAATTACAATTGCATACTGTATCTAATAGGTACATGCCAAAGAAAGCCTCATGTGCATGAGCCCAGAGAGAAGCTAAACCCACCACTCTCCCCCAGAAAAACCTACTACTTAGTTACTAATTTTTGAAAGATCCTGCATTTCTTTCCGTGCAAACAAAAAAAAAATACCTTCTATAGTAGGGTCTCCATTTGGAAGATGACCATTCTCATTAGATAGGTACGTAAACACAGAATTGTTCACAAGATTACCAACAGCAATTAGGACTCCAAGACCAAATTGAGCAAGAAGAAAATATCCAGGAATTGTGTAACGCCACAAACCAACAAGCTCCCAAATCTCCATGTTCTGCACAATTTGTGAATTAGACACAATTACAAGAAAAGATGTTATAGAGTAGCACAAGACTAGAGGATTACCTTCCCAAGTTCCCAGTTCACAATTGAAAATGCTACATTGAATATGTAAGTACTGACGGCCCACAGGAGTGTGAAAACAAGCAGCAGACTATTCAATCGGTGCAAATGAAACAATGATGGGAACGCATATACAATATAGCCAACATAAGCCAGCAATCCAAATGCGCATATACTTGCAAAATGGAAAGTCCAAAAGGAAAGAGCAACCAACGATAACTGCCATGTTAAGAAGTTGAAAATCAATATCTAGAATACAATAAGACAGAAAAATTGGCACATTTATCCACCACTGAGGAGCTTCTCAATGAATAACAACTAAAACAGCATATTTCTTAACAGAAGAAAGAATTTCAACAATTTTATGAATAATGTAATAAGGTAAGAGAATCTTCAGAGCTAAAGACGGAGCACCAATTGCTCTTTACATCTACTCTTAAGTCAACAGACTTTTAAGCTCAAAAACTATCTAGTAGGTAAAATTAAGCTACAAGAATATGATATAGAGAAGAATAGGACTATTATGTGAAGAGATGTAAGTGGTTGATTGGTCACAGACAATAGTTTAAGATAGTTACCGGGAAACCATATGTGAAAAAATTGATCGTAAATGTCCGAAAAACTGCTCCTTTCACCAAAAAATTGGTATGTCTCTCTCCTGACCTAAAAATGAAGTACAGTCAAAATGAGCTCAGTAAACACAAAAGAGTTTAATGTCAAAGTCACCTTTATGAAACACACGGCTCCAAAGTTAATAACATAGGAACTATTCCTTGCGTTCCTAAATGTTCTACGGTCTACACACTTTCCATTTGGGGCATTTTATAATATTCTACTTCTATAGTTCTATTCAATACTATTTTTGGCAGACCCACATTACCATCTTTCTTCCCTTACACCACAATATTTACACCTTTTCAAAGTCTATTTGTCCAAAAGAATCTTTCAGATGAGATCAACGAAAATATGACACAACTATAAAGAATAACTATTATTTGATCTGAATCCAATTCCTTTTCTTTGAATATTTCAATATCAATAATAGTTAACTGTGATGCTGTATTTTTTTAAGAGTATGATCTATTGCTTTACTTTGGTGCTCAGATGGGGACAAGTGATGAAGTGGTGAGTTTGGATGGAAAGGAATTGACCATGAGTGAATGTTTTAAGCATCTTGGGTCGATCATCCAGTAAATGGTGACATTGATCAAGACGGGCCTCACTGAATTAAGTCGGGGTGGCTTGAATGGAGAGTGGCCACGGGAGTGTTATGTGACCGAAGCATTCCCTTACAGTTGAAGAGAAAATTCTACAAGACTGCCATAAGACCAGTGTTGCTTTATGGTGCAGAATGTTGGGCTTCTAAGAAGGAGCACGTTAAAAAGATGGAGGTTAAAAAATTGCGCATATTAAGGTGGATGTGTAGGAACACTCTAAGAGATAGAATCAGAAATGAGGTTATTCGCAAGAAAGTAGGTGTGGCAGGCATTGCAGACAAACTAAGACCCGAGAGTGCACCGGTTCGAAGAGTGAAAGAGTGGGACCATGGAGGGGTTAAACGAGGGAGAGGGAGATCGAAAATGACTTGGTTGGAAGGAGTTAGGAAGGATATGAAGTATATGAATTTGCATGAGGATGAAGCATTGGATCATAAGGGATGGAGGAGGAAGATTTTTGTGGATGACTACACGAAATAATCAGATTTGGTGACCCCACTTATGGTATTAAGGCTTTGTTTGATTGATTAATTAATTGATCTATTGCTTTACTTTACCCAATGTAAATCTTAAAAGTTTATATCTAAGTTATAATTAACAGTTGATCTAAACTACATAACAAGATGTTCTAAATTTTGATTAATATGTTCTTATTACTTTTTATGTACAAATTGGGTGATGAAGCAAAATTTTAATCTAGGGAACACTTATTAGAGCATAAGTAGCACTATCAAGAATATAGGACATAAGAATCACAATATAGAACATAAGAAGCATTATTTAGAACGTAAGGACATAAGAATTACAATTTAGAGCAAAGAACATAAACTTTAAACTTTTTAGAAAGTTACTTAAATATTAAAATATTATCATTATGAACCAACAGACATTTGGTTAAGAGTACAGACTACAAGTCCAAAATATTACAAAATTGCCATTACTCGCCTCCTTTAAAAAAAACTAAGCGGTTAGATGAATCAAGATCTAAGACCCTGATTTGTTCTCAACTAACACTCTTTCTCTCTTTGGTAAAAGAAATTCATGATTGACCATATTGCCATAATTGCAAAAAATTAATCTTATTCACTATATTCTAATTTCACTTATAGTCATAATGATTCCCTAGAAAGAATATCAAGGTACTTTGCACTTTCAAATCAATTACAATAAACAGTATCACCTTTCATTGTACACGCCTATTCCATAATATCATTTTTCTTCTTCCTCCCAAAATCTCTATAGCTGAGATAGAATTGGTTAATTAAAGCAGAAGGGAGAATGGATCCAATTTCACATAACCTTTTTGTGCGACCCAATATAACATTTATTCAAGCATTGAAAGATGTCTCTTCTCACCTTCCCTACAGTTGCACACACCATATAACTTCATTCGGATATCATCACATCACATGCTTAATATCAATGAAAGATGAGGATTTTCTTCTGTGAATAGAAATTAAATTATGGACAAGAAAAGAGAGTAATCATCAAATTGTCCTCTAGAGGCTACAGTCATATCAGACACTACATCACCGCATCTTACTAATCAAACTCAATAGTCAAAAGTCTCACCCCCAACCCAAAAAGGGAAATGACAAAAGCGTATCTTTAACAAAAAGGGATTATCGTCTACACAATACCACTTTTACTGAAGGCAAATAGGATAGTGGAGCTATTTATTCAGCAACACTACAGAAAAATCGAAAATGAAAACGAGCACAAAAATAAAAAATATACTGCACAAAGGAAAAGAAGGCCATATGTATCACCAATCTTTTATTCACATAATGGACAAAAATATGCACCAAATGAGATAACTTAATCAACATACACACTTAATGACATACCTTAATTGACGAATAAAAAAAGAATTTCTTGCAGGAAGAAGTTGCTCAGTCAAATCACTTTCTGAACTGGACATCATGAATTCCATTTCCTCCAAGTCATTTTTTATGCATGACAGCTGATTAATAGAAAAAAAATAAAAAATAAAAAAAAAGCACAAATAATGTGGCCGATACAGTTCAAACAACAGGCTACAAGACTTGAAAAGAATAATATAAAGTGATACTTATGGTAATATGGACAATACCAAAGCCAAGTGGTTACAAAATAAGCATTAATACAAATGAAAAAAATAAATAAATAAATAAAGTGAAGGCAAAAACAATCATAAAACTATATTAACTCAGTAAAATTAGTTGTTTTTGAACAACTCTGGGTTACTTGGGCACCAGATCAATATCACAAGATTTAAATGCAAATAAAAATAAACAGATAAATAAATAAATATAAAATCTGAGCAATCCTTTAACAATTATATACTATCAGAATTTCTCCCTCAAAAATTATTTATTCATCGTCGTATAATTTGGTGAAAGATGCAAATTTATGCTTTATGTTGGTATTTTCAGATTTATTGAGGTGAGCTGCAGAAGTGAGTTTAAATTTGTAAAATTTCTCATCAGCCATACAGTCGTAGCTAGAACATTTCTTTGCAAGACTACTGGCATTGTAAATTGGTAGTGGGCTAATAATTTAGTACTGCTGGTTCCTCTAGGCTCTAGCCAGTAGTAGTCAAAGACTATCAGTAACAGCATGAGGAACCGATTTTAATAGCTCACTACCAATTTCCATTGGTAGTTTTCTAGGACCCATTTTTATTTAATCAAACCCTACTTTCAAATGGTGTAACATTTAGTATAACTTTTATAATTGTAATTTGCATAATATTTTTCTCCAAATACAAGTATATTTTCTATTTAGTAGGTATTGGCCAGATAGGTAGAGTGAAAGTTAAAACAGGTGAAATTAATTGTCCACATACTCTTGTGTGGCATTGTAGTTGATCTTGCATAAATTCAAATATATATGATTATGCAATGAGTTTGTCACACCAACACAATATCTATTCAATCTAAATTATTTGCTGTCATTATCTTCACCAAGAACAGACAAAATATCTTTATTCTGCAACATCAATTATCTTTAACTAAACTATGTATAGAGGTTCATTATAGCAAGGAAAATTTTGTCAGAAACTCCTTTATAAGTTACTTTTTTTGCAAGAAACTAACTTTTAAGCAAATTTTTATGCAAGAAGATACCGGTTGTCAGATTTTCATCATTGACTTAATTTAAAAATCCGGCGTTGACTAATCACATGGACACTACCATCACCACCACACTCACCACTCCTTGCGAAACCACCACCCACCCCCACAACTCTTAGCGAAACCACCACCCACCCTCACCCCTTCTTCAAAACCACCATCCATCCGCCCTCACCACCTTTCCCAAAAACAGCATCCACCATTCCACCCTCACCGCCTTCTTTGAAAACACCATCCACCTACCCTACTTTCACACAAACCACCACCCTCACCAACATGGCAACATGTGTTTGCCAACACCAATTTAGAATCCGGAAATTGGTATCTTCTTGCAAAAAAATTGTTTAAAGGAAATTTCTTGCCAGATTTTTTTTTATAAGGTAGTTTCTTGCCAGATTTTTTTAAAGGCTAGTTTCTCACAAAAAATGTGATTCATAAGGGAGTTTCTAATAAACTTATAGCAATAACAGCACTGAGCTTATTAAGCAAGCTTCAGTTCCCTGTTTTATATCAAGATAAATAACATTTTTCTACTTAATATTTAAGATGAATAAGAATGGAAATAACAGAAATTTTCATGTTCATATGTTTTGACATTAAAGAGCCATTGAACACCTTAAAAGTAATGTTGTTGTGACGCTATAGTTCTCATTGGATATGGAGGAACCTCACTGAAGCTTGTAACTGCCAAGTGGTTAAAACTTTCCAAATTTATGGGTTGCTTAAGTTCATCTGTATAAGATAAGGATTTGGCCTCTATTGGATGTCCAGACTCCAGACCCAATGAGGATTATTACAAGATTGATCAAAGTTTAAGTCACGTGTGAGGGGTTATGTTGACCCTATATGTTGTGCACATGTGAGTTGTCTTACATTGGAGAAGAGAGAATATAGACAACTTATAAAGCCTTGGGAGCAATCTTCCCATGGCTATTTGCATTATGATGGAACCTTCCTTTGGGATAACAAGTGGTCAAAAGTCTCCTCATTTATGGATAGTCAAAGCCTAGTTTCGTAGCTTCCACAAATATTTAATATTTGCAGATCTTGGCACATGGAGGCTTGTGACATTCCAAGCCATGGTGCATGGTATGCCCTAATATTTTATGTAACCTTAAGTATTATCACATGTTAGAAACAGAAAGACAAAAGCCAATTTGATCATGAGAAGCCATGGTAGAGTACACTAAAATTGTATAACAAGATGACTGGTTCCTACTTTATAAACAGGTACCAAAAAACAATAGTGGGTGCAAAGTCTTGATTTATTATTGCCTATGAGGGAATATATATAGGCGACTATGGTCTTGGTCATACCAAATTGAGCTGATCTATGAAGAGGCTGAAGTTATGATCCAAGAGGACAAAAGTCACCTTTATGACATTATATTTCTACGTAAACCAAAAAAAAAAAAAAAAAAAAAAAAAAAAAAACATGCATACCATTACATAGAAACAAATGAGAGAAAGACCAGAACATATTTCCAGCCATCCAGATTCCACAGATATCTTGTAAAGACCGAGAAAATTAGCTATCTGTTGAAGCAACGTTGGGAATTGCACAGGGAGCTGATAAGTATAAAGTATAAGAATATTGAAGCAAGCATAGAGTTGAAGAGACCTCCACCATCTTCACAATGTAGAATAAGAAAAGAAATGATCAGTGATGTTTGGTAAAAAAATAAATAAATAAATAAAGAAAAGAAAAGAAAGCCTACTCAATAATAGAATGAAAGATAACTGGAACTGTCAGAACATTACCTGAAGAGGCCTGAAAAATTGCTTGTCAAAGACCAGTCCACTAGCCCGACACAGCTACAAATGAAAAAGGGCAAAGATACCCAAGAAGGATGGCTTATGCCCACAACCAGTTGGATGGCAGGCAACAGGAAGCAAAACACAACCTTGAAGTAAGAACCTATGCAGTGACCAATATAAAAGCGAGGAAACCATTAATCAGTTAGCTGAGACTAGAGAATGACAAAAAAGAACAAACAAATGACCCAGCAAAAAAAATTATCACATTTCTAGAAAAGTCAAAGTTGGGATTTGTACTCAAAGAATGGCAATTGGGAGTTGAGGATAATATTTACATTCTGTTGTCTCCGACCTAGCCCTTTCAAGACCAATCAATCACAGTGAATGTTCAATCAAATGGCTTCACAAATTTCTATGAACTAAAAGCTAAACCTTCCCCTCCATGTTAAGAAATCTATTCAAGTTATGCTATTTCATATGCCTCAAGTCAATGATTATCCCTTTTGCTCCTTATGATTGGATTCCTTACTAGAACAATTATGATCAAGCAAAATACTGGTTGTGGAAACTCAAAGTTCATATAAAAATAACATTCTTCCACTAGAGATAAGACTTCCAGAAAATCTGTTACTTCACCAAAGGGGTATCAAACACACCCCAATTTGTCCCTTATGCCCTGACAGTGAGGAGTCCATCCTTCATGTCCATAGGGATTGACTGATTGCTTAGAGCAAAGAGAAGGCTGGGATTCTTTTCAGCATACATAATTAATTGTTTAACACTCCCATTCATTAGTTACTTCACTCGAATGACACAACAAAACCAATCTTGTTTCCTTAGAACATTAACATTGCCTTCATCGAAAAGGAGATTCAGAAAAGAAGGAATCAATTTAATAAATTCTCTAATCCATAACAAATGTGGTTCAAATGCATGAAATGAACTGTGATAGAGTTTTAAACAACCAAGCTAGTTACATTAAGATAAATTAAAAAAAACACATCCATTGGCAACCACCTCCATTAAGAAAGCTGTTATTTAATATCTATGCTTCTTTTTCTCCTGTTACATTAATGGCATGGACAATGGGCTATAGGATTCAAGAACTATTTCAAATGTAATTGGGCCATTATTACTGAGTTTCTAGCTATATAGGCTGCAATTACATGGAGTCAACAAGCCTAAATAAAACTCCTATGATAGCAACAGATTAGACATTGTCGATACACATGCAAACACTTCCCTTCGGCCACTTTATTCCATATATGCAAAGACCCCTAGGAGCAAAGAAAGGGAGCCGTCGTACTCCAAAAAAGGGAGATGAACAGGGTGGTAGATCGACTAGCTAGAAGTGCAAGGATGGAAGGAGGGATACTTTTGTATCAAGTAGCTGTTTACGTAATCCCCCAACTGCAAGATTCTTGTTTGGAAAACTCCCATTTTGGATGTAATTTTTGCAGTAACTCTAACTTGAGCCAAAGCTATGAGACCAGAGAATCTTTAAACTCTTTTTAACCTGTAAACATCCTTCCAAATGCAAAGTCTAAGTCGTGACTTAAGTACCCTACTTTATCCAATCATTTTTTCCTTATTTTTTTGTGTAGCCTTTTCACCATCTCTTAATCAAATACTATTTATCATTGTTCCAATCATTTTCTTCCCTCTCTCCATCCAAAGCACAATATTAATTCCCAAAATACAACATAATCCCAATATATTCTTAGTCAAACCATCATAATTCCAATAAAACCATCAGTTCTTCTTCATAGTTCTTGATCTTTTACCTTCATTTTTCAACAATTCAAGTCCCAAATGGCTACTATTATGTCCCTCAAGTAGCCAAATCTTATCTTAAACAAATATCACATAGCTTCGACTTTCATACCTCCCATAGTCCCATTAGACTAATTGTGAAAAAGCATCAAAGTGGATTTGGTTTTTTTTTTTTTAATTTGAGTTAATGGATTCATGGTATAATGTGAAATCCATTTTGGTAGTATATTCCTCTGAAATTATGCAATTGAAAGTTTTGGATGCCACAAAAGGTTGTTGTCATACTCATCTCAGTTTTTTTTATTGGTTTTTATAACTAAAGTAGTAATGAAGATCAGACAATAGTAAACTCTACATGTCACCTGACTAGCGAATGACAAATACTAAAATTGTAAATCTTCTTTATAATTGGGGGGCCTATATTTTATAGGTAGCAGTGTAGCACAGCCTCTAAATTGTTTAAGATGGCCTTAAACTTAACTTATCAAAACTTATTTAACCTGATAAGAAAAAGAGCTTATCTAATCTGAAATTTCTGTATGAAAAAGGCCAAGATAAGTTGAACTATACACAGCATTAACTCCCAAGAAGCTGTCTATTATGATTTAGAAAAAAAACGAAGAGATTAGTGTGGGGTTTGAGAAGTGTGGAGACCGGTTCAAAGCAAGATTAAGGTGTAGAAACGGAGTTTGCGCGAAAAAAGGTTAAAGGTTCACCTGAACTTTTCGAAGTATGTTTTGGGGTCTGCCCAAGAAGGTTTCGCCCAAACCCAAATTTGGTTTGCCCTAACACAGGTGAGGTTCGGCCAAACCCAAGAGTAATTCGCCCAAACCTCTTACCCCTGTTTTATGTGTTGAAATTTGTTGTGCGACGTGGAAGCTTCTTGTCCATTTGATTGGTTATTATGCCTTGCACTATATGTACTCTAGTTAGCAATGTATTAGGGTAAGATAAATGGGAAAGATGTAGAGAGAGAAAGCCTCCAATGTATAAGCCCCAATACTTAGGGTTTGAGTGTGGGAAAGGGTGTTATTGAGGGTGGAGCCTTCATGGTACCTCGAAAGGTTGTAAAATACATTGCTCTTCATCAAAGATTATTCTATAGTGAATTGGTGGGTTTTCTCCCGGCACTCGGGTTCCCACGATCCTGTTGCTTACTTGTAATTCGTTCTTCATTGTTGTTAATTGTTAATTATCTCATACTTGTAAGCACATTCGTAATCTCTAACAAATAGACCTTGAAAAAAAGGTCATTGTTCCTTAGTAAGTGGGGTATACATAGCCCTCATCTACTTTTTTGTTTCTATGTATTGTGCATAAACTAAAAAGAAATGAAGAATGTTTTTTTTTGGTTTGCAAAAGAAGACACGTATAATGTTAGTGGTCAAAACTTGATTTGTTGACCTAAGAAAGGGGCTAAGGTAAGTGCATAAAGTTGTTTCCTTCGATGGTTATCTAAAGATTTTGGCAAAGTCACTTAGATTCTTTACAAGAAACTCCCTCCCCCCCCCCCTCAATAACACACCAACAAGATCCAAGAACTGCTTTTCTTTCCCTAATTGAAAAGTTGATTATAAGAAGAAAACAAGCTTTTAGAAGCCTTGGAAGGGCAAAACCCAGCATTTATTCTCCAATGAATTCTTTTTCACCAGGCAAGGGAGAAGTGAGTGGCTCTCTCTTTCGTTATTCTCAACTTAGTTTAAGTATCTATCACCATTGGCAAACTTTTAATTTTTTGAGGAAATCAGCAAAGTATTAAAGCCATGCATACACTTTTTTTTTAGTGTATCTAAGTGTGTGTTTTGTGGGTATGCGACTGCGCAAAGCAGCCACATAAGAAAATAAGAAAGGAATGACAATAAAACCAGATCTAGATGCCTACATGAAGATTATTGTTAAGAGTAATAAAGTGCAAGTTTTATTGGTGTTCTAGTCTAAGATAGGAAATAGTAAGAAAAGGATGACCTTTAAACCACGGGATTCTGACCATCTTGTTAAATACAGGTGTCTTATCCTAAAATTTGAACAAGTTTTGTCATTTTATTGTGTCTCTTCTCACAACCCAATCTCCTTTCAACTTGCAATGGTTTCACAATTTAGAGCCTAATATTGTGAGCTAGGAACAGGGTCAGGAAAACTGTTATACACACCTGTTGCCTACAGCTGCATTTTGAAATTTTCACACTAGCATGTCTATCCTTTTCATTGGAAATTAATCTATAGTTAACTCCCACAAGAGAGCTAAAAAACATGCATTTGTGCATAAAATTTAGTCAATAAAACATATTATAAAGGACAGGGAATTTTGTTGCTGAAAATGCATGGGATCAAAGCAAATTATTAAAATAATCAAAGATTCCAATCATACCTAATGACTCCAAAATGGATGAGAAGTTCCCCCAGCAAGAACCTCGCCAAGGAACCATACCGAGTTTGTGCTGATATAACCAAACTAAACAAACAAAACCCACTATTACTTGTATAATCACATAAAATATTGCAGTTGGAGATCTCCAGGAGTGGAACCTGCAGCAGGCAGCCAATATATTAAGGTGATGCCAAGTTAATAAAAGAACATGGGCACAAAGGTTTTCAACAGCTCAAGCAATTTGCAGTCATTCACTTACCTCATGAGCCCGATTAGCTCCACCCACGATGTATCTTCCAGACTCCATTTGTCCTCCTTGATTTCCCATGTTATAGTGAAAATTGTTTGTACTAAGGCAACAAGTAGGGAATATATACTAATACCCCACAAAAATAGAATCAGCCTACGAAAATGAAAATCTGTAGAAAACCAGTCAGAATTTGCACGTTAACTAAGCATGTGAATTACTGCTTTTAAATATTATGTGACAGAGAATAATTAGCAACCAGCCCAAGCAACATAGAACTCACCTCTTCTAGGCAGATTGAACTGAATGACAAGAAATGCTACTAGATCAACAAGCGATATTAAACTCCAATTAACCAAAGCAGCTGCAATAACAAAATAAGCCCATAAGGAGGCCAGCAAATTGCCAAGCCTGATGGCAAGGAGAATCAAAGAATGAGCAGAAAACAGTATGTATGATAGGAAGTACAACCACTAAATGAACAAGGAACTAATATAATTTGACAAGCAGACATGTGTAGCCCAACTAAAACAGTATGTTTACTCAAAGTCTCAAACTAAATAATCATGCCTGTTTCAAAAGTTGGACAGTCAACTACCAAGAAACAAAGAGAATCAGGGAAAAACCACAAACGCAACGGAATAAAAATCAAGATGCGCTAATCAACAACCAATGGAGCGAATAACGCTACAACAAGGTAAACAATATTGAGTTAATGAATACATCATACTATTGAAAAACACCCCTAATTTAACCAAATAGGGAAAATCAACTACCAAGTTGATTGTATTATATCGAATCAGTTCATGCCATTGGCAACACATCATATTATCACGAGACATATATGTTTTAAGACCACACTCTTGCTTCCTAAGCACAGAATGTATGCTTCACAGGAATAACCGTATCACTCTAATGGGGACTCTACCACTTTCTCAGCCCATATAAACAGTCACATGGTTGGATTACTGACAGTAGAACCTCTTCTCTCTAAACTACTAACAGTTTCCTAACAATGTTTGTAAACTCCCTCAATGATGCACATAATCAATGACCCCAAAACCCTCTTTATATAGAGGTCAGAATACTAACCCAAAGATTCTAATATAGGAAAATTGAATAGCAATTTTGCATTCAAAATCGAACACACAACTTTTCGATTCAAAAGCATTGTCACCGCGCTCAACACTCAGAAGCATGTACATCCTTTCCGTACTCAACATTATGCTGCCTATGCAAAATAGCATACACCCACATCAAGAAAGTTTATCTACTTCATTATAAGCCCCAAAATTGAAGGTCAGCTTAGTTGAAACATTTGAATTTGTCAATTATACTCCAAAACTAAGATACATTTCTAAAGAATTCACATGACCCAGATTCTATAATGTTCAAGAAACAACAATACAAGCAGTTTAATAACCCAAAATCCTAATAAAAAGATTAAGTACCTGCTATAAGAAGCAATGGCAGCAAAAATTGGCAGAAAAAATTCTCCATTTCCCAGTTGTTATCATCGATGAAATTGCCTCAAATTCGCCCACTTCACAACTGAAAACATCAAATTGAAGAAAACCCAGTTAATCCCCAGAATTTTTGGCAACATTTAAGGGTGATTTAGGGGATCTGGGAAATACAACGATGGAATTTTGGTTGGTTTTGCCAAGTCTAGTTTACAAAATTGGGTAATTATATATGAGTTGATGTCACCTGATCATAAGATTACCTTGCTGAATTTGAGTGCAGACAAAAGAGAGGGAGAGATTTTTTAGATTTGATTGAATCCGCCAATGCTCAACTACTCGTCGTATACAACGACTTTAATCACTTGATATCTCACTTGCGGGGAAAGAGGCGCAATTTTTATTATACTCCCTTCTCCATTATCGGATCCCGTAATCTACTCGTAACATTAATAGCATTAAATGGATGTTTACTTAGTGGGTCTATAATTATAGCATATATATTAAAAAGTGTGCCAAACAAAGTTTATGTATTATGTGTACTTTGCAAAGCTTAATAATCGTGGCACTTGCCACGATTAATTAAGATTTATTAATTTAATGTTGTATTAAGTTATTGTTCTCCTATTAAGAATTGTAATTTAATCTTGTAGTATTTTAATGTTGTTTTAAGTTATTATGTTCATTTATCTATAACCCTTGAAAACCAAATTACTCAAGTTGGTTCTTTTCTTTTAGAGAGTTGCTTATGACCAGTAGTGTTCCGGCTTTGCCCTTCATTTTGGCTGTCAAAAGAGACCATTTACCAATTCGTCCTTTGTTGTAGGTCATGCATGCAACGTGTCTTTTTTGGGCTGCCAATTGATCATGTGTGCTCGTCTTCACCTTGCCACGTCAGCCTTGGTGTTCTTCTTTTGCTTGAGCTCCAGTAAAGTGCATGCAACAACCTGTGTTTGGGCTAGGTTGTTTTTCTTCAGGTGAACCAAAGCAAAGAGCAGACACAACTGCCTCTAGCTCCTCCACCCTTTTCTCACGAGAACCAACACGTTCCTCCACCCCTTCTAAACTAGACTGATTAGGTGTCCCACATTGACCACTGCTATCCACCTTATCTTTGTCCTTGCTTGCCATAGTGATTGAACTACTTTTAAGACAACAAAGATAGTAGTATGACTATGAAGATGTAAATAAAACTTGTGAAGATTTAAGCACCCTAACCTCCTTTTATATATGCCTAGATGACTAACCATGTAATACCTAAAGGTTAAATGCAATCCCTGTAGAATAGTAAAGCTATCACAAAATAACTATCCCATGTGCCACTTCATTGGTTGATTCTTAACCGAATCTAATGGAGAACAGCATGCACCATATAAATTTAAATGTGATTAGACTTTCACTCATAGCATAACACAGCTCATACATATATAGCATACAGCTCATTCATCTACATCATATGCTTATCAAATAATGTAAATAACCAATGCACATTTAATTTGGCACAACTAAAACACTAAACAAAACAGGAGTGCTTACAAGGTTATTCCTCGTACATAACTTATTTAATTACCTAATGCTTGTTTATCTAACTTAACATGCTTTTTACTTCCATTTGATGAAGTTAATGTAAGATGAACCAAAGATAGTGTTCAATATGTTCTACAGTGTGGACTATCTTTTTTTTATTGTCTATTATTGGGATTATATACTTTATAAAGCGGCAACAACTACTCAGTATTGATCCCATTATTAAGAGAACCATTTTACTAGAATATGTTATTGAAATAGCAAATTATGAGTCTAATATAATTTCATAACTTCATCAACATTAATAATCCATACAACATAACTATCCTTCCACATATTGCACTACAACTATTAACTCCTTCTCAAAGACGTAATTAGGACCTTATACATGGCCTAACAAGAAAATTACTGCAATAAATTAAACTAGCACTAGCTCTACATCAAAGATTGGAGGATTTCCTTTCCTATACTTAATAAGGGATCCTTCATCCTCTTGAACATTATATCGATCAATGATATCCTTAACACCTTTTTTTAAGAAGCACTGAGTAATTGCCTTCTTCTTCTTCACAATCTTCAGTTTCACCTCGAATTGTGTATCAAAATTCCGAAGGATTACATCAGTGGACTCACCAAATCCAACTAAAAATTCATTAGCAAAAGAGACAGGGATATTCTGCAAAAAAAAAAAAAAGAAAAAAAAAAGATTCAAAGAAAACAACATTACTTAGCTACAAAATGCTTCTACCACAATCAATATATTAACTTAACAAGTGCTTACTATCAATACAAACAATAATCCCCTGCTGAAGATAAGTTGCAGTTAAAATAAATTTAAAATTTGTCTCACAACAACCAACTACAAGCTCATCAATCCAGGCATTTGTCTCAATCATTTTCTCAAAACAGCCTTCATAAGTAGGTTTACGCCCACGCCTTTTACTAGAACTGTCATTATCCTTGTCATGTTCTAATCCCTGTGCTTTCTTACTTCCTGTGAACCTCAAAATCTTAACTATGAATGAACTGTGCCCTGAATAAGTGAAATTTAAACCATCACTTGAACTTAAGCCATTATCATCCACAAACTCAAACCAACCAGCATCCAAGATAGTCTTCCAACCATCTCCATCCTCTTCATGTACCATAGTTACCTCCCAGATTTTAGAACTACCATGCACTGATAATTCAACACTAAAAAAAACCATCGTCTAATACCTCTCTAAAAACATCAGGAATGTGTTGCATATGCATACACAATTTCACAAAAGAAAAAACAGAAAAGATATTAAGCATAGTAATACCAAAACAAAACAAAAACAATAACATATATTTAAGACTTAAAACACAAATATTTCTTACAACCATAAAAAAAAATCAAGAAACATATTTTCTCATACCAGCTTTCCCTGTTGTTCAATATCATAACGAACAGTAAACGAAGCAGAAAACTCAGCCATGCAAGCACTTCTACAGATTTATGAAATAGATACAGCTTGTCTATTTAGCAAAACTTACTACATTGAAAGAATTACATATATAGAGAAACAAAGTATAGGAATTGGTATCACATTGAATAAGCTCATGTATGACTTTGACAAGAAACACTTCAGCTCATCTGTGTGCTCCAAGCTTAATATGGGAGATTTAAAAGTTACCAATATAACTCTACAAATAGCCATCGTTTTGTTAAATACCCCTAAGGTGTTTTAGAGAATATCCCCGTCAGAGTTGGTAAATTTTTTATTCCTGTTGACTTTGTTGTTCTTGACATGGAGGAAGATACACAAATTCCTATTATACTAGGTAGACATTTCCTTCACACTGCAGGGGCTATAATTGATGTTAAAAATGATAACATCACCTTTAATTTAGGGAGAGTCATGAAAGGACCTATGCTAAAGGAAAAATGTTGCAGCATTGATGTCATTGATATTATATGCCATGATAGCTTACCACAGGTTTTCACCCGAGATCTTTTGGAGGAATACTATGTTATGATCTTACTGCAGGGGATGTTGACATATGGAGTAGAGAGGTGGATGCAATTAAGCAAGCTGTAGCAAAATGAGCAACTTAGCCCTGATGAGAATGATAAGGTAGAAAATTTAATTCAGGAATCGTACTCTGCGGAGGTAAAGAAACTAAACTTAAACCCCTTCCTTCGCATTTAAATTATGTAGTTCTTGATGAGCAGGAACTACACCATGTGATCATTATTAATGTACTCGATGATTCCCAGATTTCCCAACTCCTAAAGGTTCTAAGAACCCATAAAAGGGCAATCGGGTACAATATTAATGATCTGAAGGGTATTAGCCCTGATTTTGTATGTGCATAATACACCTAGAAGACAATCACAAGTCATGTATACAACCACAGAGGAGGTTGAATCCTAAAACGAGAAGTTGTCAAAATGGAGGTCATGAAGCTACTTGATGCAGGTATTATCTATCATATCTCTGACTCAAAGTGGGTAAGTCTTGTGTAGGTAGTTCCCAAAAGGGTGGGATGACAGTGATTAAAAATGATAAAAATGAATTGATTCCCACTAGAACTGTAACAGGGTGGCGTATGTGCATTGATTATCGTAGATTAAATACCGCTACTAAGAAGGATCATTTCCCCCTTCCCTTTATTGACTAAATGTTGGAAATGTTAGCTAACCGTAAATTTTTCTGTTATTTGGATATGTATTCGGGATTCTTTCAAATCCCAATTCACCCTGAAGACCTATGGTACTTTTGCTTATCGTAGGATATCCTTTGGATTATGTAATGCACCTGCTACTTTTCAACGTTGTATGATGAGCATCTTTTCAGAATTCATAGAATCTATTATGGAAGTTTTAATGGATGATTTTAGTGTGTATGGATCTTCGTTTGATGTTTGTCTAGCTAACCTCACTAAAATTTGAAAAGGTGTGAAGAATGCAATTTGGTTTTAAATTGGGAAAAGTGTCACTTTATGGTGACACAAGGTGTAGTCCTAGGTCACGTTGTTTCTGATTAGGGTATACAAGTGGACAAAGCAAAGGTAGAAGTGATTGAGAAATTACCTCCACCAGTGAATGTTAAAAGGGTAAGGAGTTTCCTTGGTCATTTAGGGTTATGTCGTCGCTTCATCAAGGTGTTTTCTAAGATTGCTAAACCACTAACTCAGCTTATACTCAAGGATTCCCCATTTGATTTTACTGACGACTGTCTTAAGTCTTTCAACAGGATTAAGCAGGCTTTGATATCGGCTCCTATCATATGTGCTCCGGATTGGAACCTTCCATACGAGATCATGTGTGACGCTAGTGATTATGTAGTAGGCGTCGTGGTAGGCCAAAGGAAGAACAAAGTTTTGCATGCTATTTATTATGCAAGTAAAACTTTAGATGAAACTCAAGTCAACTATGCCACCACAGAGAAGGAGTTTCTTACTATGATTTATGCCTTAGAGAAATTTAGATCATACTTGGTTGGTTCTAAAATTATTGTTTTTACTGACCATGCAGCGTTAAAATATCTCATTGCCAAGGCAGAGACCAAGCTTAGTCTTCTCCGTTGGGTGCTTTCGCTCCAAGATTTTGACATTGAAATTAGAGACAAAAAGGGAGCGGAAAATGTAGTTGCAGATCACTTGTCAAGGATCAGGTATGATGAAGGTAAGGATTCTCTTCCTATAGATGATTCTTTCCCTGATGACCACTTGTTTGTAGTTGTAAAGCAACACCCTTGGTATGCCGATTATGCCAATTATTTGGTAGGCGGCACTCTACCTCCTGATTTGTCAAACCAACAGAAAAAGAGGTTCATTTATGATGTTAAACATTATTTTTGGGATGACCCCTTTTTGTTTCGTGAGTGTGCAGATGGACTTTTTCGCAGGTGTGTTCTTGGCGTAGGGTGAACTAGGTCGTTAACT